ATGTGTGAATCTTTTCTTTGCTCCTACTATGGAGTATTTTAATACATTTTTGGACGTTAGCCCATTTGACTGGTATGAAGTGGTATCTCAGTGTAGTTTTGCTTTTTTTTTTTTTTTTTTTCCAAAGTACAGCTTTATAGTTTTACACAGTAGTTAGGTTCATCCTAACAACTTTATACATGCATGGAAATCAATTTTAGTTCATGATCTTCTCCTTTTCCCTCCTGTCTTCTATCCCTCTCCCATTCCTCTACTCTATTAGATTTCTTTTTCACTAGTCTATCAATGTATATTTGGTTCTTTTTTTTAAAACAAGCTCTGCCAAGTTTTATTAAAGAAAAATTTTGCATGTTTTACCTTTCACCAGTCTTCTGGCATGCTTCTAATGATATCAGAGTCACCTGGACCAATGATAGACAGCATGCACACTCTGTAGTATTTTACGCATGTTGTGCCCAATTCAATATTATAGCCACTGTAGTGATGGTCACCAATTTTGGCCAATATGGCACAGTACTCTATTTCAGATTTCCTCAAAGCTGGATAGTTATTGGCAAGGAGGGCAATTTCACTTTGCCCTGTGTGATCATCTTCGGAGTCTGCTGTACCCCAGCACATACTTTCCACTTTCCATAACAAGTTGGAGCTTTATTAACTCCAGAGACTTTTTTTGTCTTCTTTGGGGCCACCATCTTCCTACCTTAGATGTGGACTACGCCCAACCAAGAGTAGCTGTCAAGATAGCTGGAGAGCTGGAAAGCTATATTTGGTTCTTTTTAATTTGTTCTTTTTAGTTATACATGACAGTAGAGTGTATTATGACATATTATACTTTCATGGAGTATAACTAACCATTCTTGTGATTGTACATGATGGGAAGTTACTTACACTGGTCATGTGTTCATACATGTACATACGAAAATTATGTCGGACTCATTCCAGTCTTTCCTATTCCCATTCCCCCTCCCTTCCTTCATTTCCCTTTATCTAATTCTGTGAACTTCTGTATTTGGTTCTTTATGTTATCTAGCCTTCCCTTCCCCTTTTCTTTATTTCACTCTAGCTTATGAGAGAAAACAATCAACCTTTGAGTCTTTGAGTTTGGCTAATTCCACTTATCATGATATCGTCCATTTCTAACTTACTGGTAAATGACATGATTTCATTCTTTTTCATGCCTGAGTAGAACTCCATTGTATACACATATACAACAATTTCTTAATCTGTTCATTTATTGATGGCATCTGGGTTGATTACATAATTTAGCTATTGTGAACTGCACTGCTGTAAGCACTGATGTGGATGTATTATGCTGATTTTAGATCTTTTGGGAAAATTCAAGGGAGTGGGACAGCTGAGTCATATGATGGTTCCATTCCTAGTTTTTTGAGCAATCTCCATACTGCTTTCAAGAGTGGTTGTACTAGTCTGCAGCCCCACAAATAAAATACGAATATACCTTTCCCCTATGACCTTGCCAGCATTTATTATTATTCGTATTCTTAATCATGGCCGCTCATACTAGAGGGAAATGAAATCTTAGTGTAGTTTTGATCTACATGTCTCTACTTGCTAGATATATTGACCATTTTTTCATATATTTGTTAGCTATTTGTGTTTCTTCTTTTGAGAAGTTTGTTTAGTTCTCTTGCCCACTTATTGATTTGGTTATAGGTTTTTCTTTTTTGATGTTAAGCTTTTTGAGTTATTTCTCAAATATTCTGGATATTTATCCCCTATTGGATGTAGCTGGTCAATATTTTCTCCCATTCTGTAGGCTCTTTCTTCATGCTTTTAATCATTTCCTTTGCTGTGCAAAAGCGTTTTGGTTTGATGGCATCCTTCTTATTGATTCTTAGTTTTATTTCTTGCATTTTGGGGGTGTCTTGCATTTTCCTTATGAGCAAGATGAAACAACTTTTTAAAAGTTTTTAAAAAAACTTAACCCTGATATTCCATAATGATGATGAATCAGTAAATCCTTTCCTAAATTAATATAGATTGCATTGCGAATTTTCTGTAGATGGGTGAATTCTATACCATATCAGAATGCCTTCCATATTATACTTTGGTGTTTCTCAAAAGGATGAATTAATGAACTTCAATGTTATATTGTTATAAATAAAACTATTCCTAAGTTTTTATATGATAATAGATAAAATTGAGCTTAAAGAAAACATTCTCTAAATCTTCATATTCATTATACTTTTCAATAGTGTAAATATTATGCTGTTGAGCAAACATTGAGTCATGATTAAAGGTGTTCGCAAACTGTCCATTCATAGTGGTTCTCACCATGGTGAATTTTCTGCTTAGTAAAATATGAAGTGTAACTAAAGATGTGGTTACTTTTCTTCTCTTCATAGGGTTATGCATCAGTATGGATTTTTTCTGTCACAGAAATGGTGGAGTCCTAGATACAGATTTCCCATACTCTTCACATTCATGTGGGTCTCTTTCTGGTATGGGAAATGATGTTAATTAAGTTCTGAGTCATGAAAAAAAAGCTCTTTGCACATTCCTTGCATTCATAGATTTTCTTACCAGTATGAGTTTCCTAGTGATGATGAAAATTTGAGCCATAAAAAAAGGTCTTTCCACATTCCTTACATTTATGGAGTAAATTTTCTTAAATTTTCTCATGTTGAGCAAAATACAAAGCTCAAATGAAAATCTTCCCAGCTGGGCATGGTGGTGCATGCCTGTAATCCCATCAACTCAGGAGGCTGAGGCAGGAGGATGAGTTCAAAGCCAGCCTCAGCAAGGGCAAGACTGTAAGCAACTCAGTGAGACCCTGTCTCTAAATAAAATACAAAATAGGGCTGGGCATGTGGCTCAGTGTTTGTGAGTGCGCTTGAGTTCAATCTCTGATACTACCTCCAAAAAATGTCTTGTGCCTAGATGGGTTACAAGTCAATGTATCCTATGTGGCAAAAGTTATTGTACTGATGATCTCTTGCAGAGGGCACTCACACCAGCATATTTTGGTATTGTTAAGGAAGAGAATATAAGAATGAGAAGGAAAAATTCATGAGAGAAAAAAACATGTAAAGTTATGCTCATGATAAGTACTATGAAATTCAATGGAAAAACATGGGATATATACTTTATCTAATTTATGATTATGTTGGGATATGTGCATGTCTGCTCAGTAATTAAAATTGTAACATTTGCTAAATCTATACAAGTTGTTTAGAAACAGTATACTCTAAGATGTCATAGAAATCTTGTTTGAATCATGTCAAAAAGTATAAAAAATATAAAATTTACATAAACAGTGTCCTTAGTTCAGAGAAATGACAGGTGGATTATAGTCATATAAAATATAACAAACTTGCATACAAAGTCAGTAGGAAAATTCCAACTATTAACATAAACTCATTGGGGCGGGGAGCTGGGGGTTGAACACAGGAGTACTTAACCACTGAGCCACATCCCCAGCCCTCTTTCTATATTTTATTAGAGACAGGGTCTTGCTGAGTTGTTAAGTGCCTCGCTAAGTTGCTGAGACTGGCTTTGAATTCATTATCCTGCTTTGGTCTCCTGAGCCCCTGGGATTACAGCCATGCACCATTGTGCAGGCCTAACCTAAACTAATTTTTAATGGCCTGTCTCTCAAGCTGGCATATGAAGAACACATTTCATTTCTCCCATGGATTCAACATAGTTCAAAATGAAAGGAGAAAAAAAAACAAACTCCGTATGTAACTTAAAACCCTGATTCAACTTAAACAGTCCATACTAATTAAAACCATACACTATTGTTTAAACAAAACTTATAGAATTGTATCACCTCAAAATTTAGTTTCTTTTCCTGTTTTTTTTTTTTTTTTGGTTGTTTGTTTTGTTTTGGTAGCAGGTATTGAATTCTTGTGTGGGTGTTGCTTTCTTAACCACTAAGCCACATCTGCATCTTACGTATTTTAAGAAAGGGTCTCACTAAGTTGCTGAGGCTGTTCTCTAACTTAGGGTCCTCTTGCTTTAGCCTCCTAAGTCACTGATATTACAGGCACACACCACCACAGCCAACTTTAGTATTTATTCCCAAGAGTAAAAATTTTTATTAAGTCACTGATACACACAATATATATTTAACTTTTTTACATTCTTTTTAGGTTTTGCATTTTTTGCAGTATTCTACACCACTTCAATTGAATCAAGCTTTTATTAGTATTTACATATATTTCCCCTACATGGGGAATTTTTACAGGGCTTCGAATCTGTAAAACCTGAAAACTTTCTTGTGTTTTTCACATTTACAGGGCTTTGTGCATTGTTATATATGGGCCAAATCAGGAGATTTGCACCTTTTTCTAGTCATGGTCCCTGACTATATTTTGTTCTTTCACATATATGAACAAAACCAAGATGACTAGAGACATTCCACACATCTTTCATTGATATGAGTTTTTTCCACCATTCAATCTCAAATTTTCTAGAAACTTTGTGTGGTAATGAAGCATTTACACATTCTATATTTTGAGTTATTGTCTAGTGTGAATTTTTTCATGCTTGTGAAAGGTATTGCAATGACTAAAAGCTTTCCTACATTGTTTACTTATATAGGAATACTCTACACTGAGAGTTTGTGTTGTCTGTGTTTTGTGAAGGAACTGTGATCTCAGATGTCTTTCCCACATTGATCACATATGTAGGGGTCTTCTGTAGTAAGTAATTTCATTAAAAATGGAATATATGAGCATTTTATCACCTTGTATCCATTCTTGATGTTACTCTAAAGTGTCCTTTCATTCCTCTGAATGTTATCTGGAAACAACTGAGGGACTCCCATATTCCTTGCCTTTGTATGGCTGCTCTCCATATTCCTGACATTCATATCATTTGTATCTGGTATGAGCTCTGAAAGGAACATTAACACGTGAATGACCAATGAGGACTTCTCCAAACAAATTACTTTGACCAGCTTTTTACTCAAGGAAGTTTTCTTGTTTACCATAGAATCTATAGTACTACTGAATATTTTTCTACGTTTTGATTACCTATTTATGTTCAGAGTCTGTGTTCCATTTGATTTCTATAGAGGCCAGGTTCCTGAAGGTTTCCCACATTACATCTCTGTAGAGCTTCTTTTGGAAAGGATCCAGCAAAGCCCACTCCTCTACAGAAAAGCTCAGAGCGACATCCTCAAAGGTAACTGATTTCATTTCTGGATTCCAGGGTCCCTCAGCCTTCTCTCTACAGTTCCTCCAGTTAGTGGAGGACATAGACTGACAGAGGTTGAGCCACATAGTTCTCTCATCAGCTGAGGGAATGTCCCTAGAATGGAGGTGCCACAAAGCACCAGTATGAATTTTCTGATGTTGAGTTAGGTGTGACCCAAGAGTAAATGCTTTCCTACAGTCCTTACATTCATATGGTTTTGCACCATTATGAATTCTCTGATGTTTAATGAGATGTGATCTTTGACTAAAGGTCTTTCTGCATTCACTACATCCATAGGGCTTTTCTCCAGTATGAATTCTATAATGTCGAGTAAGGTCTGATCCACAGCTGAAGGCCTTCCCACATTCTTTACATTCATAGGATTTTTCACCAGTATGAACTCGCTTGTGGACACTAAGTTGTGAATGAAATCTAAAGGCTTTCCCACATTCCTTACATTTTAATGGTTTCTCCCCACTATGAATTCTCCTGTGACAAGTAAGACCTGATCTCAAACTAAAAGTCTTGCCGCATTCTTTACACTCATATGTTTTCTTACCAGTGTGAAAAGTTTGACATTGAGTAAGTTCCAAGTCAAGAAGAAAGGTTTTCCCGCATCCTTTTTCTTCATGTAACATTTCACCACTGTGAACGACCTGATGCTGATTATGGTCTGAGGCAGAACTGAAGACCTTTCTACATTCCTTCCATTGACACAATTTCTCATTAGTATGAATTTTCAGATGTTGAGTTAGGTGTGCACAACGAGTAAAATCTTTCCCACACTGCTTACATTCATAAGGTTTTTCACCAGTGTGAATTCTCCGATGGTTATTAAGATGTGATTGCTGACTAAAGGCCTTTTTGCATTCACTGCATTCATAGGGCTTTTCACCAGTGTGAACTCTCTGGTGATGAGAAAGTTCTGAGCCACAACTGAAGGCCTTCCCACATTCCTTACATTTTAAAGGTTTCTCTCTAACATGAATTCTTTTGTGACCACAGAGACTTGAATGCAAATTAAAAGTCTTGCCACATTCTTTACATTCATATATTTTCTTCCCACTATGAACAGTTTGATGCTGAGGAAGTTCTGAATCAGGAAGAAAGGTCTTCCCACATTCCTTTTCTTCACAGAATTTCTTGGCATTGTGAATTAATGGATGTTGAGTTTGGTCTGAGGGAGCACTAAAGGATTTTCCATATTCCTCAAATTCATGTGATTTCTTACCAGTATGACTTTTTTGATGTTGAGTTAGGTGTGACTCAAGAGTAAATGCTTTCCTACAGTCCTTACATTCATATGGTTTTGCACCATTGTGAATTCTTTGATGTTTAATGAGATGTGATCTTTGACTAAAGGCTTTTCCACAGTGAGTACATTCATAGGGCTTTTCGCCTGTATGAATTCTGTGATGACGAATAAGATCTGAGCCAGAGCGAAAGGCCTTCCCACATTCTTTACATTCATAGGATTTCTCACCAGTATGAACTCGCTTGTGGATGCTAAGTTGTGAATGAAATCTAAAGGCTTTCCCACATTCCTTACATTTTAATGGTTTCTCCCCACTATGAATTCTCCTGTGACAAGACAGACCTGATCTCAAACTAAAAGTCTTGCCACATTCTTTACATTCATATGTTTTCTTATCAGTGTGAAAAGTCTGACATTGAGTAAATTCCAAGTCAGGAAGAAAGGTTTTCCCACATTCTTTTTCTTCGTATAATTTTTCACCAGTGTGAACTACCTGATGCTGTTTGTGATCTAAGGCAGAACTACAGACCTTTCCACATTTCTTCCATTGATACAATTTCTCATTAGTATGAATTTTCTGATGTCGAGTTAGGTGTGAGCCACGAGTAAAAGCTTTCCCACACTCCTGGCATTCATAAGGTTTTTCACCAGTGTGAATTCTCTGATGGTTAATAAGATGTGAATGCTGACTAAAGGACTTTCTGCATTCTTTACATTGATAGGGCTTTTCACCAGTATGAATTCTTTGATGGCGAGTAAGGTCTGAGCCACACGTGAAGGCCTTTCTACAGTCATTACACTCATAAGGTTTTTCACCAGTATGAATCCTCTGATGTCTAGTAAGGTCTGACCCATAACCAAAGGCCTTCCCACAGTCCTTACACTTTAAATCTTTCTCCACAGTATGAATTTTGTTGTGACTACTAAGACTTGCACATGACCTAAAACACTTGCCACATTCTTTACATGTATACGTTTTCCTATCATGATGTATCTGAGATTGAATAAGTTCCAAGTCAGGAACAAACATCTTCTGAGATTCCTTATCATCACAGAATTTCTCACCAGTGTGAATTAACTGATGTTGACTATGTTTTGTACCAGAACTAATGGCTTTTTTATGAAAGTCTTTACATTCATGGGATTTCTCACATTTATGAATGTTCTGATGTTGAGTTAAGTGTGAAATACGAGCAAAATTTTTCCCACACTCTTTACATTCAAAAGGTTTTCCACTCATGTGAATTCTCTGATGGCTAATAAGATGCGATCGCTGACTAAAGGCCTTTCTGCATTCATGACATTCATAGGGCTTTTCACCAGTATGAATTCTCCAGTGTCGAGTAAGGTCTGAGCCACAACTAAAGGCCTTCCCACATTCTTTACATTTATATGATTTCTCACCAGTATGAATTCGTTTATGGATACTAAGTTGTGAGTGAAACCTGAAGGCCTTCCCACATTCCTTACATTTTAAAGGCTTCTCCCCACTATGAATTCTCTTGTGACCACTGAGACTGGAACGTAAACTAAAAGTTTTGCCACATTCTTTACATTCATATTTTTTCTTATCATTGTGAATAGTCTGATATTGAGTAACAGCTGAATCAGAAAGAGAGAACTTCCCACATTCCTTGTCCTCACATAGTTTCTTACTAGTGTGAATTAACTGATGTTGACGATGATCTGAGCGAGAACTAAAGGATTTCCCACATTCCTTACACTGAAGTGATTTCTCACCAATATGAACTTTCTGATGTTGACTTAGGTGTGAGCCACAAGTAAAAGTTTTCCCACATTCCTTACATTCATAAGGTTTTTCGCCAGTGTGAATTCTATGATGTTTAATAAGATGGGATGGCTGGCTAAAGGCCTTTCTGCACTCATTACATTTGTAGGGTTTTTCACCAGTATGAATCCTCTGATGTCGAGTGAGGTCTGAGCCACGAGTAAAGGCCTTTCTACAATCATTACATTCATAGGGCTTTTCACCAGTATGAATTCTCTGATGTCGAATAAGTCCTGAGCCACAACTAAATGCCTTCCCACATTCCTTACATCCATAAGACTTTTCACCAGTATGAATTCGCTTATGAAAACTAAGATGTGAATGACATCTAAATGCCTTTTCACATTCTTTACACTTAAAAGTTTTTTCCCCAGTATGAATTCTCTTATGACCAGTAAGGCTTGATTGCAAACTAAAAGCCTGGCCACATTCTTCACATTCATATGTTTTCTTACCAGTATGAACTGTCTGAAATTCTGAATCAGGAATAAATGTCTTCCCAAGATCCTTATCTTCACAGAATTTCTCATCAGTGTGAACTGTCTCATGTTGAGTGTGGTCTGAGGCAGAAATGAAGGCTTTCTCACATCCTTTAAGTTCATTCAGTCTCTCTCCTGTATTGAGTCTCTGATGTCGAGTAAAAGCCATGTGTGGGTTCACAGTAAGCATTTTTTCCTCCTGATTTTTCTGTTTTGTTTGAAACTGACTTTTGCCTTCCATATCACAACTATAACATAATCATCCAAGGTTGCAGATCAACACATTTCCATTTTTTTTTATTAACTTCTTGGTTTGATTCCTGGAATGTATGTCTGCAAGATAAGAAGGTAAATAGTTTTATTCTACAAAAGAGATTAATATTCCAAAGTAGACATAGAAATAAAAACTGAAACTAAAGCACAAAGAATTCCCAAATTTTGAACCATCTGAAAAAAGGTAAATAAAAAAATGTAAAAGAAGAAATAAAACTGGAAGCATTTGATGAGACAGGAAGTTTTGTTTATATTCATCTGAGAAGTTCAATAAAAAATGATCATACAGCTGGGTATGGTGGCACATGTCTGTAATCCCAGTGACTCAGGAGGCTGAGTCATAAGGATTACAAGTTTGAGGCTACCCTCAGCAATTCAGTGAGGCTCTCAGCAACTTAATGCGAAAATTTTAAAAAAATATATTAAAGGTCTTAGAATGTAGCTCTGTGGTAATCCAATCCCTATTACCTCCTCAACCGTCCCCAAAAAATGGAAAAAAAATGTCCAGCTACCACATCAATAACAGAAAAATAAGTTAAAGATTTAAAATTGTGGTTAATTCAGTGTGATATAATCAAACTTTAGGAACCATTAGGCATTAAAAATTGTGGAATAAATAAACTTACAAGAAAAACAGCACAGTTAGGTTAGATGAAAGGTATTAAAAAATCTAGGGGCCAGGAAACACAGACGGGATAATCAGGGTAATAAACACGTGACTTATCTCATGTCTTTTGTATCTGTAGGGAAATGATTACACATACTCCTTGACATTCTTTACAAATAGCCAACAAAAGCATACCCAGCCTAGAGTGATGAAAGACAAATATGAAGGAATGTGATCATATCTTCTCATTTTTTTAATTTGTTTTTTCACATGTAAATATTTAACCTTGCTCATTTCCTTCACTGTATATCAAGTCGTTTTTGTCATACAGTCCTAACCAAAGTGCATTTGTTTACTTAGGTATTCTTAATGTTATATATTGCTCACCCATTGTAATAGCATTAACTGTTTGGTGCTTTTAATTCCTTTACCCTGATTTCCTTTTTAAAAAAAAATATTTCTTTAGTTTTTGATGGATTTTTTATTATTTTATTATTTTTTATTTTTTTGTGGTGCTAAGGATCAAACCCAGGGCCTTGCACGTACTAGGCGAGTGCTCTACCACTGAGCTACAATCCCAGCCCCTCCTCTGATTTTCTTTTGCTCTTCTAACCAAGGCTAATGAAAGTATCTGAGAAAACAGCTTTAAATTGAAGGTACTTTGTAAGGCACTATGATCAATATTTTGTATAATTCCAAATTTTAAAAAAGGAAATAATACAGTATCCGTTGAGTATATCAGAAGCAATCCAGTCCAGAGTTACAAGTATACCAGGCACTTAATAACACAGGTATGTTGTATTTGTATCAATGAAGATAATTGTAGATGACAGTTCAGATAGAAAAATAGTTCAATAAATCTGTCAAAGGAACATGAGTCTGGCAAGAGTTAGGAATACGTAGAAGTCGTAATCTTCTGTGATTCATTTTTCATCTGTACTTAGGATTCAGTAAAAATGTCATCCATTTGTGGTATAAATATTTCTTAAGAGAACAGAATTTCTTGGAAACTAAGCAAGAACTTGAGCAACAGAATGAGGCAAAAGACAGTTCAGTTATAAGGTATGAGCAGTAACTCCAGGGGAAAGATAACAAACCACAGTTTCAACTACTTTTGTTTACTGAAATTATCTTTGGTGATGAGAAAATTACTGAGCTTTACAGAATTTTTATTTTCCTGTATGTTAAATAAGAATAAAATCTCTTTTTTATCAGAGTTCTGTTGATATAGTAGGAAATAATGCACTATTTCTATAAATCACCTGAAAACAGAATAAATGCTTAACAACTAATAAATGATGATCATTATCAATATAGAAAAAAATGAGAATATGGGGAACTAGACTAGCCAGGACTTCTCTTTTTGATGGTGAGTTCTCCTGTCTTTTAGTCTTAACCTCTATTCTGCCACTTCCTGGTTATTAAGATAAAAAACCCTTTTAGCCTATTATCCTGATTTTCAACAACCACATTTTTTTTTTTTTTTTTGGTACTGGGGATTGAACTCAGGGACACTTGGCCACTTAGCCACATCCCCAGCCCTATTTTGCATTTTATTTAGAGACATGGTCTCACTGAGTTGCTTAGTGCCTTACTAAATTGCTGAGGCTGGCTTTGAACTCGTGATCCTCCTGCCTCAGCCTCCTGAACAGCTGGGATTACAGGCACTACTACGCCCGGCTAGCTCTTTCTTAATGTAGAGCCTATCATGCAGAAATATATAGCCATGTTCCAGTTAAATAAAATTTAAAAAAAAGTTCTTAACCCATTAATTCCCAAGTTTTTAATTCTATGAATGTTTCAATGAATTTGACATGTGCATTAAAATAGGTTAGAAGTCATAATCTAGTTATTACATATTATATTCACATAACTATCATTTAACTATTATAATAATGCCTTTATTGCTTTATAACTTTATTAAATATTATGTAACTGCATTAAATATTATATACTATATTTTAGGTTTGTATGCATGTGCAACATCTGGGCCAATGGGCCAATGTATTATATACTCTGTTAATTCTTCTAAACCTAAAATAAAATTAGAAAATCAGCGAATGTTAGTTCAAAGAATAAATTAACTGATGAAGAAAATGTACAAGCAAGTAAAGAACATAAAATAAGAAAAATTCAAGAGATAGTAGGTAAAATTAGAACTAAGGCCACAAAACTAAAGGGCAAAGAAATTTGTAAATAAATTTTTAAAAAGATAGGAAGGAACCTTGATCCCAATAATCCACAATATGACGTCACTGGAGGAAAAGTATAGCATCCATCTAACCTTTGTAATAAGAGGGGAAAACAAAAGTATAGAAATGGAGAGGTATCTGAAGTAAAGAGAAAGTTCTCTTGGAAAAGGGTTTATGTATGGATTTCAAGTCTTTATCAGAGATATTTTGTCAGGACGTAATACTCAAGCTGGATATTCTAGGGGTGCTAGTGCCTCATTAAGCAGCTGAGCTATTATCTATGATGGCTGCCTGATGATGCTTACCCACACTCACCTGGTTAAGACCCTCTTAATTCATTCCTCGAACAATCCTGAGTTCTTGCTTTTTCCTGAATAAATAGAACATGTCTGGCTGATAAAGCACAGTCCAAACCAGCAGATTTAAAAAAAAAAAAAAAGACCACATGGCTAAAAGTTCCAAATCTCCAGCTGGTACTTTGGTTAATCACAATTCTAACAAAAATGATAGAGGATTTCTGAACCTTGGCAACTGCTTGCTTTACAAAACAAACCATTTCCCCAGAAAAAAGGTCAAAAAAGCCCTGTAAATATTTAAAAACAATCCACAGTAATAGCAGGAATATCTTTTTTTCTTTTTCTTTCTTTTTTAAAATTTTTTGGTGCTGTGTATTGAACCCAGGGCCTTGTGCATGCAAGGGAACCATTCTACCAACTGAGCTATTTCCCCAGCCCTATAGCAAGAATTTCTAAGTTCAAATTCTGAATCTTCCCCAGTGAGATGAGGTGGCTCTAGTTCTCCAACATCACATGTCTGTAAATATCCCTGTTTTTCAGGCCCATTCATTACCCTTCCACTAGGAGAAATCCACAGCCACATTCCTGAACATCACAACTGCTAAAAGCACAAACAAAAATATTAATGGTGAAATCTGATGAAATATTTTTGATGGAAAGGGAAAAGGTAGAAAAGTGCACTATAGGGAACTGGACATACAAGGAACAAAAAAGTAGAGTTGGCAGCCTGTGGTATGGGAGAAAATTATATATTAGTGTGACTGAAGCCAAGAGCTTTCATGATGTCAAAACTCCTATTGCTCAGTCACAACATCCAGTGACCTTCATATAATACAAGGCACTAGGATGGTAGCCTAGAGTATTATATGTCATAGGAGTCCTTTGTGATGTCACTGAGAGACTGCATCAGGCTGCAATCACTACCTCCAGATTTTTAATATGAAGAAAGCTGGGGTTTTTGTGGGCTGTTCACTTTCCTTGTGTTTTATGTAAACTACTTTTAGTTGAATTCCATTGGTTTAAATAGGAAGAACGCTTTACAGGTATGCTTCCTAACTGAATACTATTTCCTGTGGACAACGTGTAAGGTCTCGGGCTCTCTGCTAAGTAGATAACAATCGGCACAGGTTTTGTTAATACTGCTAGTTTCTCTCAGATTTCCTGGCAAGATCCCAGATCTCTATGAATTCTCTGTCTTGTCATACTTCTGACTAAAAGCCATATGTTGAAATGAATACCAACTAATGCTGAATTCCATTTTAACTAATTGAAATATCCCATTTATGGAGTAAATTAAAAATTTCATGTGCCTTCACTGTAACCACTTGGTTCCTCCTTCTAAAGCTGCAGTTTTATGATAAAGGTGTCTTCTATTCTCTTTTTAAAAATTAATTTCTTCTCTTTCAGTGCTCTGTCAGAAAATTTGGATCCAGTAGATACTGAATGCCCTGTCAGGCAATTTGGGAATACTGGTTGGAAAAAAAAAAAGAGGGACATCTAGGGAAGGCATGGGACTGTCTGACAACCATCATTTACCACCTTGGAATGAATCAGGTAATTAGTTTAAGGACATGTGATAAAAATGTTCATATGCTTTGAAATAAATGATTACATTTTGGAAACAATTTGAGTCAAATGGGTTATGACTTTAAATTCCAAGAGTTGACCAATCCTCCTCTGGATTATTCTCTTGGTAAAGCAGCCATGAGAACAGAGCTAGAGGAAAAGAATGGAGAAATGAGAAAGGCCATTTTCTTCCTTGCAGGAAGGTTAGAGGAAGTCTGGGAAAATCCTGGCCCTATTCCAACTAGAGAGATTTTACTTAAGCACTATGGAGTTTCAATCTAATTAAAATTGCCAAAATCATTACATCAATCTAGGTATG